CGCTGCGGGATTGCAGGTTGTCCCTTGGGCGTCAAAGGGAGTAATTAGGTCTTAAGTGGACCAGGATCTGGTGCAGTGGCCGACGCGCCTCCTCCTGTGGCTCTCGGTGTTTCTCTTTTCCCCTTTCTCCGTCTCTTATTCATCCTCCTCTCTTCTCTCCTCTTCTCCTCCTCCTCCTCATCATCATCCTCCCTCCTCCTCCTCCCCCTCTCACCTCCTTCTCCCCTCCTCCCCCTCCCTCCTCCTCCTCCTCCTCCTCTCCTCCTCCTCCTCCTCCTCCTCTCCCCTCCTCCTCCCTCCTCCCCTCCTCCTCTCCTCCTCCACTCCTTCCACCTGTTTTTTCTTCTTGTTTCCTGGAGGTGTGAGATAGCCCGAGGTTCCTCCTGCTGACACAGGTTGGAGTCTGTAGAAAACTTTGGTGGATTTCGTGACACCTTCGAGAAAGTGTGTTGTGTGTGTGTTGTGTGTGTGTGTGTTGTGTGTTGTGTGTGTGTGTGTGTGTGTGTGTGTGTGTGTTGTGTGTTGTGTGTTGTGTGTGTGTGTGTGTGTTGTGTGTGTGTGTGTGTGTGGTGAGCCGGGGTGTACGTGTGTGCATGTTCGTCAGCTTTATTTTATATTTTGCTGGATTCTGGCCGTTATGTTTTGTATATTGTTCATGAATATATTATTTGTAGGCTTTCGAACATACCTGGCTTATTTACACTGATGTATAAATTCGTAATTATTCCGATAAAATTTTGTTTCCAGCTGGCAGTAACTTCATGAAAATTTCCAAGACGAAAAAAAAAAATGCAAAAACGCAGTATAGATTATTGGGCCAAAATCCTCCACCGTCTCACTAGCCCCTTCGTCACCCCTTTCCTCCACACTTGCCCTTTCCTTGCTCCCTTTCCCTTGCCTTCCTCCCTCGTTCTTCTTCAATTCTTTCCCCTCACTTCCCTCTTCCTCTTCTCCTAAAATACTCCTACCTCCTCCTTTCCTCTCCTTTCTCTACCTTCTTTTGTCTAGCCTAGCTGCAAGATAGAGAGAGAGAGAGAGACGGAGAGAGAGAGAGAGAGACGAGAGCTTGAGAGAGCGGGGGATAGAGAGAGAGAGAGAGAGAGAGAGAGAGAGAGGAGAGATGAGTGAGAAGAGAGAGAGAAGAGATTCAAGGCGCCACTTGTAGAAATCACTTAAGAGGTGGCGCGTGGCGGCCCTTAAGTGTTGCATATGACTCTCGGGTAGAGAGAGAGAGGATAAGGAAGGGGGGGGGGTGAGGATAGAGGAGAGGAGAGGATGAGGAAAGGGGGTGAAAGGGGGGAGTGGGGGGGAGGGAAGACTTATGAAGGAGGGAAGGAGGTGAGATGAAATGGCGGACACTGAAATAAAAAGTGGAAGGGAGGAGGTGAGGATAATGAGGGGAGGATGAGGGGAGGGGGATGAGAGACACGCGGGGAGGAAGGGGCGCGCCGTGGCACCGAGAGGGAGAGCCCTGGCTGGAAAGGGAAAGCGGGCCGAGGAAATGGTTAACTTAGGGAGGAGTCGGTTTCGGGGTTTTGGGGATTGTACTTTATAGGAATATAGGAATGTTGTCTTTTAAGAAGAATGTCATGTGGTATCTTTCCATCCCCAGTTGTTGTCTTCCATATTCCACTAGTTGGTAGGCCACGCACACATAACACACACACACACACACACACACACACACACCACACACACACACCACACACACACACACACACACACACACACACACACACACTACACACGTCCCTGCGCTCTCTCCGCGTGACGACAAGAAGCCCACATGTCAGGGACCTTAAAGGAGGGGAAGAAAAAAAAGGCCTCGAGAAGGTCCCTTTTTTTCGCATCTTCGCCCGAACATCGAAAGTGACACTCGGGTGACACTTTACACTTATGTGGCGCTTGGGGATTCGAGTTGAGGATTCGGTTGTTTGTTTGTTTGTTTTATGACTTGTTTCCTTGAGATCGGTGTTTTGGGAAGATTAAAAGGTGATGAGATAAGAATGAATATTTCGAATGATTTCCGAAATATAAATAGATAAATAGATTGATTAATGATTCTCGAAGTAGAAGTGAATAGGTACCTTGATAGATAGATAGATGATGATTCTCGCAATAGAATAGATAGATCGATTCCCGAAACAGAAGGGATAGATAGGTAGATAAGTATCTCCCCCTATAACGCCCCCCCACCCCCCGTTCATATGGAAAGTCGTTCTCGCTCCGCTTGTCCCATCCATCTACTGGCGGATTTGCGGATTTCAGGTGGGGGGGGGGTCGCCGAGCAATGTTTGAGAGATGAGAGGTGTCTAGGTGGGGGGGGGGGGAGAGGGAGAGGGGGGAGTGGAAGAGGAGGGTGTGTGGGGAGGAAGGGTAGGGGAAGAGAAAGAGAGAGAGAGAAGAAAAGAAAGAAAGAAAGAAAGAGAGTGAGGAGAGAAAGAAGAGAAAGAAGCTGACCTGCCAGTGCGTGGCGCGACCGAACGGGCGAGACAAAGTACCGCCCCTTCACGGCGAGGCGACGGGCGGCCGGTCAGCCGAGTGAGTGTGCGGGAGTGACGGCGTGTCCCGAGTGGGGCAAGGCGAGGCGAGGGCGAGGGCGAGGGCGAGGGCGAGGGCGAGGGCGAAGGGCGAGGGGCTGCATGGCAAGGAGCCAGTGCGCGGCGCTCGGGTAACTAGATTAGCGATCATTGTCATTATCCAGGGTGTTGACAAATAGTTCTTGACAGTAATGGAGGGCGGACGCGCGGTTTCGAATCGGCAAATTGATGTGATAGCCATGTGGTGTTGAGCCGGTGCTGTTGATGTTGTTGGTGCTGTTGTTATTGTTTTTATTGTTGTTGTTGTTTTTGTGGGTCGGGATTGGCTCGTCTGATTTGACTGCATGAGAGGAATCATCACCGTTCAGAGCGAGATTGTCGGCCGGTCATGCGCGCACATACCAGCCATGCAGTCGGAGCAGGTAAAGGGCCGAGCATGACGCAGCGAAAACAGACAGGTCGGGCAGTTCAGCAGGTCCGCTGAACTCTCTCGTCTGCTGTCGCTGTTGCTGAAACGCCACCGACGCTTCGCATAATAATTGCCAAATTTATATAAAAAACAACAACAACAACAGCTACAACAACAAAACCAAAACAAACACAAACGAAACCAAAATATACGCAAATTTACGCGGGGATTTTGGCGGACGAACGCGAATCCCCAGCACTCGGAGGGCGAATGTCACGTCCCCCGCTTGGATGAACGGTAATAAACAAAAAAAGACCTGCATAGCTTGGATTAGTCATCGTCCTAATCCCGCGAAAGATATCGATTCGCGAGAGGACCGAACCCGTCAGCCCGTCGCGGTGCCTGGCCAGGGCGGGACAGGGCGGGCGCCGCTGAAACTCTATCCTTCGGGAGAACTGCTCGGCCGAGGAACAGCTTAGTCCTTCGCTTCGCTTCTCCTTTCCTTCCCTCTTCTGGTTTTGGTTTTCTTTCTTCTGTTTTCTTGTTTGTGTGTTCCTTATTCTTGTTTTTTTTTTTATTCGATCCTTTCTTCTCTCGTCTGTTTCCTTTTTTTCCTTTCTTTTTTTCTTTTTCATATCTCATTCGCTCCTTTTCCTCTTGTGCTTTCGCTTCCCCTTCCTCCTTCCCTCTCTTTCCCCTCTTTTCCCTCCTCTCCCTTTTCCCTCTCCTCCTACTTCGTTCCTTCCTCTCCCCTTCCCTATCTTCTCACTTCTCTCCTTCCTCTCCCCTTCCCTCTCTTCCCACTTCGTCCCTTCGTCTCCCCTTTTCCAACTCTCTCGCTCGCGCCCTGCTTGACCTACTCGAAACACCCAATACTGTTTCGCTTCATTGCACCGATTACACTCAAGGTAAAAGAGAGAAGGGAGAGAAAGGAGGCTGGGGACGGAGGAGGAGGAGATGGAAAAGGGGAGAGTAAGGCAAGAAAGGAAGGAGGAGAGGAGTGAAGAGAGGGGGAAGGGTAGAAAGGGGAGGGAGGGCAGGAATTAAAAGAGAGAGAGAGAGAGGAGAGAGGAGAGAGAGAGAGAGAGAGAGAGAGAGAGAGAGAGAGAGAGAGAGAGAGAGAGAGAGAGAGAGAGAGAGAGAGAGAGAGAGAGAGAGAGAGAGAAATAAATAAATAAATAAATAAATGAATTAATATCCCCATTAACTCTCTCTCTCTCGCTCCCTCTCCCCCTGTCTTCGCCCTGGACTAAACCCCTTGAGTCTCGAACCTCCTTCTGAGCCTCCTCCAGCATTCACTCTTCATTGGGGGCATTTGGCGGCGGGAAGGGCGGAGGGCGGGCCATTGTGCGGCGCGTAATGTTGCTTGTTGGCTCCGCTATCTCGCCCACTCGTCCCCGCCGCGTGTCTGGCCTTAATGTGGGCGGACGATGCACTTTGCTTGTCTCATCGCCGAAGGAAAAGAATGGTGGGGTTTTGTGGTATGAAGAGGTGGGGTTTTTCTTTTCTTTTCTTATTGTTTTGAGGGAAAAGAATGGTGGGGTTTTATGGTATGAAGAGGTGGGATTTTTTTTTCTTTATTGAATGAAGAGGTGTCTTTCTTTTTAGTTTTTTTTTTTTTTTTTTTTTGAGTGGTGTATTTTCAGTTTTTGTTTTACTTCCTTTGCCCCAGAGCTTAGGTATCCTAGACAGCTAAATTTCCCCCGGACTTATGGTGAGCCGGAACGTGCAGTGATTAGCGAACGTCTCGAGCCGAGATAATTGCCGAATGCCAGGCTCGCTGGAGGCTCGACTTCCAAGACAAAGATGGAAGAAGAACCGGACGGACTCGCCCCGCCGTCTCAAGATCCGGTGAAGCGAACCAAGTGAACCACGACGGCCGCGGCTCACCCTTCCAGTCACCTTTCCTCCTCCTCCTCCTCTTCCTCCTGAACCCCCCCCCCCTTCCCCCACGCACGCTGGACACCCTCTCCTCATCCCCAACCCTTGCACCGTTCCCCGTGCCCCCTCCCACTCCCCCTCCCCCGACCCAGCCCAGCTTTCCTCGCCGCCTTCCAAGACGCCGTGGACTTGGTTCGAGGACGTCTTGGCGCGAGGGTCCTTGCGCCCGGTTCTCTTGGCGTCCGTGCAGTGCAGGTGAACAGAGAGAGAGAGAAAGAGAGACAGAAAGTGAAGGTGAATTGAAATAAGCGGAGAGGAAAGGTGTTCAAGATGTTCGCCTGCTTCGGGCTGAAGGCGAAGCACAAGCGGCTCTCTCCCGCCCAGTCGGAGATCGAGCTGTGCGCGCCCCTCAATGGGTCCGCGCGCTCGCCCTTCCACCGCTCGCCCACGCCCCACGGCACGCCCCTCCCCAAGCGCGCCTCCTTCAGGAGAAAGAAGAAGCGGCCGTCGGAAGCGGAGACTCGCCTAGACGCCGAGTGTGAGTATAATTGCTGTGTTCGAGGACGCTGAAAGCCCATTTTTCTTCGGCTGTCTGGGGGTGGCAGGGATTTTGGTCTTTAAGAAAGTTTTTGCTCGACGCGATTTCAGTTCATGATGATTATTATATCCGGCATTATAATATTTTAGTCTATTCTGTTTTTTTTTCTTGCATTTCTATTGCCGTGATGGGATGCGTTGTACATCGTGCGACGTGCAATCTCTGCCGTGCATTTCCTCAGTAGCGGGAGTTTTGCACATTTCTTTTCATGACGTGACAAGGAAAATGCAAAATGTACGCTGTTGGCTTATCTTCGCCGTGTCTGCGCGTGGCGTGGTTGCAGCCATAATCTCGCGATACTGTTATTGCCATGCAGCATTCCGTCTTCTGTCATGCAGCAATTTGCCTTCCCTGGCGTGCGGTTCCTTGTGTGCACAGGCGGGCGGGTTCATCACTCAGCGCTGCGAAAAAGTAAACGCAAGACCAGTTTGTGGAGAGAAGTTTACCGTTGTGCATTTTGTGTTCGAAACTTGAAGTCATCGGATTTAGATTAAGGCTCGGATAGCTTGGCGTTCGGGGCTGCTTCATAAGCGACTCTTCCAGTCACACAGCGTCCGTAGTCACTCTTGCGGGTCTGCATTTAATGACTCGTTCACCAAACCGGTCTCTCGGTCCGGGCCACGAATCGTTTCATTTATTACCCGGGGATTCCAACGTTATTGTGGAAGCGAAGAGCCGCGATGTAGTCTGCCTAACACGTTCATCCATGTGTGCGCGGAGAGACACACAGTACGCTCGGAATTCAATGCCTCTGCACGTGGGAGCGTCATCCGAGCCGCGAGTACACAAGACTACACGTGTTGGGCTCGCTGATGGCTCGTTCGTGAGCAGCTGGAGCCACGCTTGAACCCACAGGGACGTGCCGGGGCTGGGGGCAGTGTCGAGGTGTACGGGAGACGGAAGGCGGAGCGGCGGAGGAGAGGAGTGTAATCCACGTGTCTTTGTTAGATTTGGAGTGGGAGAAGTGAGGAGTGCGAATATCTGTGTATGAGGGTAATTGCAGAATAAAAAGTATGATAATGGTCATCATCGGAAGTCGCACAAAAGACGCGGAAAACGAAGGGGGAGGGACATCAGAAAGAGCAGGAGGAGGGAGTCCCGCAGGTAATCACGGTTTGTATCCTTGACCCTCGGCCCTCAACCCCCCCTCCCTCCCTCCCTCCCTCACCCCAACCCCCACTGGATCCCTGGGGCTGCTGCAGAGTGGGGGAAGATTGCTTGTTACTAAGTGTGGGGAGGCCGATCTTTAACGGGGCTGGCGAACACATTGCACATTCGAAGAGAGAGAGAGAGTGAGTGAGAAAGAAGAAATAGAGCGAGAGAGAGAGAGAGAGATAGTGGGAGTGAGAGTGAGAGGGGGAAAGAGAGAGAGAGAGAGAGGGGAAGAGAGAGAGAGAGAGAGAGAGAGGGGGGGGAGAGATTCGATTCCCTGTTCTTTATCTTATCGCCATCTGTTTGTATTTAGTGGGGATGGTAATAGCCTGGCAATCTGTTGTCGATAAGGCGGGTGTCTGTCATCATATTTCGTTTCTTTAGAAGGTTCGATATAAAAAAGAAGCACCTTTTTTCGTCGTGTTATAACGCAGACTTGCGGGTGGTTTAAATTAGATGAAGTATGCGGGGCATTCTCGAAGTTCACATATTGGTTTCTTTTTGCCTTCGTTGGATTCAGGGGAGAACATAGGTCGTGGTTTTAGCCTCGTGTGTATTCTCCCTTCTGTTTATTCAGAGGCGAAGGTTACACGTCGTGGTATCCCAAGAACGCCCGTATGGACAGGGTGATTGAATGTTCAGTCGAGAGGCACGTGTTATTGCACGACTCAGTCAATTTGCACCTGAAATTATTGGATTTTCTGGGTAACGCGTGCTGTTGTATCTTTTTCTCCCCCTCCTTATCACTCTCCCCTCCCTACTCCCTCACCTCCCCACGTGTCCCATCCCCCCTCTCTACTCCCTCCCCTCTCCACTTGTCCCATCACCCTCCCTACCCCCTCTCCTCCCCACGTGTCCCATCCCCCTCCCTACTCCTTCCCCTCCCCCCTCCCTATGCCCTTTCCTCTCCCCTTGCACTCCCCTCCCATTTCCCACGGAGGAACCCCCATGACGTGTCAGGTGTCAGAGGGTTTATCGTTTTAGTAGCGTGCAGTGCAGTCTTCCCACCAACTGCATGGCGGTCCTTATGCTTTTCTCTCTCTGTGTGTGTGTGAGTGTGTGTGTGTGTGGTGTGTGTGTGTGTGTGTGTGTGTGTGTGTGTGTGTGTGTGTGTGTGGTGTGTGTTGTGTGTGTGTGTGTGTGTGTGTGTGTGTGTGTGTGTGTTTGTTTGGATAGGCTTACCAACTAGGAAGTGCCAGCTACGTGTCCGCGTGTAATTTAGAGTGCCACATAGGCCGGATATTTTTCTGTTGTTATCCCAAAAATGTCACTTAGGACGTTCCCTCGATAGAAGAAAAAATATTCAGCATTATAAGCATCAGAGTCGCACCTTCTGGAATATGCGACACTTATACAACACTTACAAGAGATACTTTACGTCAAACATACAGAGGTAATTCAGGCAGTTAAAGACCATGTGTCACTTAAGCTTATGATTATTGTCAAAGGAACCCACCAACACACTCGAAACTCACAAACAAGTATTCTGTTTTGTTTACATACCTTAATCTCGTGTGGGCGCCTTATTTGTCAAACAAGATCCCGAGCTTTAGCAACCGAGGGAATAGTCTGGCTTCGATCTAAAGAAAAAAAAATAAAAAAAAAAAAAAAAAAAAAAGAAGACATTGGCGTAGGCTTATCGACGTGGCTTTTATTTCCTAGTTATTCTTGCTATCACCGCCTCGTCCTTTCGTTTGGCATCCTTCCCATGACTTCTGGCGGAGAGGTCAGCTTAGGTCACGCCCCCGGGGGGTGGGGGTCGGATATCAAAAGTCTTGCCGGGAAGGAAGGAGGGAGGGAAGGGAGTGGGGTGGGGAGGGGGAATAGGGGGGGGAGAGAAGCGTGGAGGGGGAGAGGGATAAACAGCATCCGGGTATTTGGCGGGATAAGTCTCTCAGGGGATAAGGCGTGAAGGGGGGGGGGAAGGAGGGAGGGGGGGGTTAGAAGACTGACTGGTAGTGGTTGTGGGGGTAATCCTTCCTCTCCCCCCCCCCCCTGTCTGCCCCCCCTGTGAACGGCGTCACCTGAGCCCGGAATTAGCTAAGGGATAACGTAGTGTCGACGGTGAGAACATTCTTAAATGCTGGCTTCTTCTTCTTCCTACTCCTCCTCGCCCCCCCCCCCCCGTCCCGTCATCCTGATTTTTTCCCTGTTTCTCAGCTTGTTATACTTATTGTATTTTTTTTTTTTCAAATTTTTCTTTATTCTTTTCTTTTGATTTTTGTTCTTTTCTTTGTTCTTTTTTCCTCTTCTTCTTCTTCTTCTTCTTTTCCTCCTCCTCCTCCTCCTCCTCCCTCCTCCTCCTCCTCCTCCTCCTCCTCCACCTCCTCTTCCTCTTCTTCCTCCTCCTACTCCTCCTCCTCCTCCTCCTCTTCTCCTTCTTTACCCTTTCTTCCTACTTATTTCCCCTACCTATTCGTATTCCTCCTGTCCATTATATTTTTTGCGGACAGTTGCCTAGTGAATACGTCGAGAAGATAAGCCCGGGTATTAAGAAAAAAGTCGACTGGTAAAACATGTCGAGCATCAGCGCAGTGTGTAGATTTGCGTCGCTCATTCTGATAATCCTTGCGCTGTGCTTCGGATAGTTTATTGTTTTCCGGGTTATTTGTATGATTTGTTGTTTTTGTTTTGTCTTTATGCTATTTGGTTCGATTTTGCTGAGTTATGTGCGTTAGTGTGCTTACTTGTGGGTTTATAATTGGTGTTTACGGTTGCTAGTCGGCGAATATCTCTTCCGAATGTGTACTCTTTTTAAGTAGTTTTATATCCGAAATGCAGCCCATTTTATCCGTTTTAAGGAGGTGGCCGATAAGGAGGAGGCGCATTGGTCGGTTAGCTAAGAGTTCCGCGGTCCATTGCCAGGGATGAGGCGAGATTAGCACCTGCAATTCGGGATTAGCGGCGCCGATGGTGGTCGGTTGGTCGGGCCTGTCTGCACGGGGGGAGTAGGTGGGGGAGGGGGAAGGGGTTTGGAGGGGGAGGAGAGGGAGATGGGGGCATGGGTTGGGGCGCACTTGGATGGGAGGAGGGCCACATGTAGGAGGAGGGGGGCAGGGCAGAGTATGGGTGGCGAAGGACAGCATCTTTGCGAAAGATGAAATGGGGGGTCCCTTTTATGCGGTTGTACCTGGAGCGGCGGAGCTAATTGAGGATGAAATGAAAATGTGAAAAGATGTTCAAAGGTCACAGAAGGATCACGAAAGAAACTGGAAGAAGGAATAGGAAGACCTTAAAATCACCGAGAGAGAGAGAGAGGCAGGTAGGAAGGGACACGCCCTTGCACGGAGCACCATACAGAGCGAAGGTCAAGACGAAACACGAGGAAGACGACCTACACACACTCGGTGTCTCGGACTCACTGCGCCTCCTTTTTCATTCCTCGCGGAGCCATGCGACACCCAGTTGAATTAACTCGATGTGCAGTATGTCCGTCGTGCACTCCTTGTCTTATGTTTTCTTTGCTTTTATACATCTCTTTATTCAGTTTATTATAACTCGGATTCACGACTGCTGCTGTACTTCTCAATTTATAAGTACTTCTGTAGACCTTTATAAGTACTTCTGTAGACGTACATTAGCACCTAAGTCGCATAGTGCAGTATGTACACATGTATTAAAGTCATAATCTAAAACATAACAAGACACTTCTATGACGTACATGAAAACACAACTAAGGCTAAAGGAATACATGGAAGACAAACTGTCAATACTGTACATGATTTCTAGCGTCGTATCCACGAAACGTCTTAAACCGGGGACTCCCTGTGCTCTTAAGCGATGGGGTG